AAACCTCACAGTTGTGTTCGAACAAGTCATAGACACCAAACCCCTCATGAAGCAAATACATGGCCCGATGGACAACGGTCTCGGGAGAATCGGATTGTGCAGTTGAGCACACGCCTCCTCGGAATTTGATAACAAAGGCAAGTGTGCTCGAGCTGTACTGAAAACGGTATAAACTTCCATCTCCGAGGAAACAATTCAAGCAAGACATAATCACTCCACTCCCATCTTTTCTGAAATCACAGTCGGGGATACCTAAACAGGTTGTTGCTCGGGAACTTGGGATTGAGCTTGAGAAACATGAGTTGGAGCCACTGGAAGAACTTGACAAGCTGGAGCCATTGGAAGAGCTTGACGAGCTGGAGCCATTGGAAGAGCTAGATTGCTGGTCCTGAGTGAAGTGGACGACTTTGTCACGGCCCACGTAAATGCCTATAAGATACAATGGTTTTGATTAACAAAAAAGATCGTCAAAAAACAATATAAATGGATGGATGATTCGAAGACTTAAATGATAACACACAACCTAATCAGACTAAAACTTCACTTTGGCATGCATCAAACAAATTACCTAAGATCGACAGTTCTCTGCTTGAGGGACAATTTGTAAAAACAATGTACTTGTAGTTTTTAAAACATAAAAGTAGTGGGGTTTGCCTTTATTTTACCATGATCTCAGATAGTTGTAGCTTCAAAACACAATTGCTTTTCCTTTTAGCCCTTGATCAATATAAGAATTTGGTACGAAAGATTAGAAAATTACAAAAAAACGAAACGATTCGGTTTGAAGAGCAAACGGCGATTCATCAAGTCCAATACCAGATTTTCCAACAAGTGTTACCAGGAGCTCATAAAATAGTCAAGAGAACCGCCCACATAAAATCTGATACAAAAACTTCATAATTAACAACATGGCTACTGCAAATCATTCTCAGTATCATCATCTTCATCAACCCGACAAAAATATATGAACAAGCACGAAAACATAGAAGCTTTGAAAAAAAAAAAGGTAAAAGGGAAAAGAAAGGAACCATGGTGAGAGTAAATGAAAGCCGTCCTATAAGTGTAGATATGGTCCCCTGCTTCTAAATCGTTCCTCGACACTCTGTGTGAGATGAAACCCATTGCATTTGTCTTCCTTTCTCGTCCAATTTCGACCTAATTTCTACATAAACCCTAATAAATGTATCGTCATAGCAAAAGGAAGATGAAGAATTAAAATGCGACGGTCATATCCATGTCGTTTCGACTTTTGGAGTTCTACAAAAATTTGAATGCACGAAAAAAAAAAAAAAAAAAATTAGATTGGCGTCGCCCGGACTCGAACCGGAGACCTTCAGTGTGTTAGACTGACGTGATAACCAACTACACCACGACACCAATTTTGGTGAACTTTTGTATTTATTACATGAATGATGATATTTGCATTTGTCTCGACTGCAATAAAATGCTATAGTGAATGAAAGACAGTCAAATTAGGAAAGTAAGAGCATCTGTTGTCAAATGTCAAGTGAACAAAACAAATGTTTAGATATAATGTATTCATATTTATCTCTTCTTTCGCAGCCTAATTTTGTGTGACATGGCTTGACAATAGTGAAGCTCGTTGTTTGAAATCACACAGTGTCTTTGACGGTATGAGTCAAAAAAAAAAAAGGCAAAATTGCATTTTGTGCCCTGTAACTATGCGTGTGTGGCAAATGTGGACAACTTCTTTTTGGTTTGGCAAAAGTGCCCCAAAACTTGTTAAAACCTGGAATTCGTGCCCAATTTACCTACAAGTAACCGGAATTGATCGGTTTTTCGTGTGGCAAAACAGGACAGTAACTTGTTAAAATTCGAAATTTATGTCCAAATTGAACACGAATTTCGGGTTTTAACAAGTTTCATGGTACTTTTGTCAAACCAAAAAGTAATTGTCCACATTTGCCACACACCCCTAATTACAGGACATAAAATGCAATTTTACCAAAAAAAAAGTCTAAAAATCTGTAGAATCGTGGAAAAAAAGTTTGGAAAACCTGATTGAATGATACATGAACACATATGTGTCTCCAGTATGTTTAAAATTGAAATTTGAGTTTCAAAATATGTTTAAAATCAAGATTTGAGTCTCCTGTTTAAAATCAGAGATATAAAGACTAAAAGAATGATGGTTATATTTAACATTCTCAATTTGTTGTAATGATGTGGAATAACAATTTCGTACTCAAGATATATGCTTGTTAACTTGTTATCCATATATTGATGTTACAAAAACTCATTCAATTTATTAAAATCTTAAAAATCAGTTTAACTTGAATGTTTTAAAAAATAAATATCATAGTCAAGAAGAATGAAAGAAAGAAAGTGCATTGTCCGCGTAGTATTTGCTTGTTGCTAATTGTACTGTCAACATTGATATTAAGGGGATCAGTTATCCAATTATGTACAAACACGTGGCATGGATATTTTAACATTCATATTCATACATTGAAGATGCTCTAATAATCAATATAATATTTTTACATATGTATTTGCTTAAATATATAGATTTTTTATTCTAAGGATATTTTTTTTTAAATATCCTCCCTATATCCTCCCTATATATAATTTCTGAATGCGCTGAGCCTACGTGGCTGCTTCTGGTGCTTCGGAATCCTACTTGGCGAAGAATCATGCTTCGTAATTAGGTTTGGACAAATAATATTGATATATTAATAATAAATAATCTAGGTTTGGACATTCCATAAATATTATTTATCTAACTTAGGTATTTTAATATCACTTGTACTAATATAACCCTTTAATTATTTGTAAATTTGCATAGTGAGGCACCAAGTGACTAATATATCCCCGACTTTGATTTGTTTCTTTCAATTAGCTATTGAATTGTAAATGTATTTTAAAAGTTGATAACTTTTGTATTTCTTATCGGTTTTACATATATTATATATCAAATTAATCATCTCTTGATGATATTCGGTTTGATATCCATATTGTATATATGAAATAAATAAATTATATTTATCTTTATAATAATAAAAAATAATAATATTTATTAAAATTTATTAGAAAAATAAAATTATTTATCAATTGATATATTTATTTTTAATGTAGTTATATGTTGTAAGTTAAAAATTATTATAATATAACGCAGGTAAGTCGTACAAATAGAAAGTGTTATACTATGTATATAATAATATATATTTTTTTGTAAAAGATATTTAAATTTTTAACTACTTTTTCACATTAATTTAAGACTCTAAGAAAAAAAATTAGCAAGCACCATGTAATACACAGGTATTATACTAGTTGAAAGTAAATTTAAAACAAAATGGTCCAATTATTGGCCATTTCTCATGGCGTTCAATGGATTTATGATTGATTCTTAGGCAGCGGTTCATTCAACAAAGTAAACCGGTTTATTTGAGTATTTTCGGTCCAACCGGTTGAAAACTTTTACAGCACTCAACAAATTACCTCTTCAGCTATCAAGCAACTCACTGCAAAAACAAAAGCAACGCAGAAAAGCAGAGAATCTTTATGGCCGAAGCCCTCCATCTCTTCCACACATCTGCTGCCGAGTTACCCAATTTATCGTTCACCTCACGCCAAATTCTCCTCCTCGCGATCTTTAATTATTCTCGGCTTTACTCTGCAGTCAGGTTTGCTCGCTTTCTTGATTAATTTGTGAGATTAGGTCAATATGTATGTGGCTTTATCGAATTCATCTTGGGTAGTGTTCTTGAAATCTGTTTTCGACATGCTGTATATATGTTAGACAGTAAAATTAGGGTCTTTGAGGTTGTTTTATAACTTCAAAAGCATAAATAAAATAAAGAGAGATGCTACCGTCCCGCTACGGAACCATTCCGTCGGAGTTTGTAACCGTCGGAATAGTTGATCTAACGGTTACAAATCCTGAAGAAAAAGGGAGCAAAAATAATTTGGGAACTCTGTTAATTTTCTGGGAAAAACTCAAATGTTATTTTTGTCCGCGGTTCATATGTATAGCCCGCGGGTAATTGAATTACATTTGGTTCAAGACGACACCGTTTTGGTACTAGCGAAAATAATCCCACTAAAGGAAGAGTCGTAAAGCGACTTCTGCCCACAAAACAGAAAACACAACTTTAGCATGAAACTAAAAAATACAATGTAGATCACATATTCATCACCCCCCCGTCAAGTTGGAGCAGGGGTGAGAAGCACCATGCCCAACTTGGATATTAAAGAAGCAAAGTGTGCAGCAGGAAGGATCTTAGTGAGGACATCTGCAAATTGGGCCCGAGTAGGAACATAGCGTGGCTCAATGAAACCCTCCTTGAATTTGTTGCGGACAACGTGGCAATCGATCTCGAGGTGCTTGGTACGCTCGTGAAACACCGGATTTGCCGTGATGTGCATAGCAGCCCGATTGTCACACCACATAGTAATAGGCAAGCTGGGAGCAAGAAGCAAAACAGTAGCAACTGCATGAATCCATTGTAGCTCGCAAACAGTTGCCGCCATGGCCCGGTATTCTGCCTCCGCCGATGAACGAGAAACAGTGGACTGTTTTTTGCTTTTCCAAGAGACTAAATTGGGTCCCATGAACACACAATATCCTGTGATAGACCGTCGTGTGTCCTTACAAGCCGCCCAGTCGGCATCACAGTAAGAACTGAGATCAAAAGGACCACTGGAGGAATAAAAAAGCCCAAGAGAGGAAGTACCCTTAAGGTATTTAACAACATGCAGAGCAGCAGACATGTGATTAGTGAAGGGATTAGTAACAAACTGACTTAGCTGTTGTACGGCATAGCTAATGTCGGGCCGAGTAAGGTTGAGGTAAAGTAGCCTCCCAATGACCCGTCTGTATTGATCTGGCTCATCCATAGGATTCCCATCAAAGCTAGAAAGTTTCAGCCCATGTGGAAGAGGAGTAGAAGGTTCTTTGCAGTCAAGTAACCCAAGATCCACAACCAAGTCTGTAATATACTTTTGCTGGCATAACCCAAGTCCCTCAGCACTCCTGGTGATCTGTATACCCAAGAAATACTTAGCATCCCCCAGATCTTTGATCGTAAATTCCTTGTGCAAAAACTCCTTCAAGGAACTCATAAGAGCAGTGGAAGAACTAGTAAGGAGAACATCATCTACATAAACAAGCATTGCCAGAAATTCCCCATCCTTGTGTTGTGTAAAGAGACAATGATCCTGTGAAGACTGCTGCAATCCAAAACTCAAGAGCTTCTTTGACAATTCTGAGTTCCACTCACGAGATGCCTGCTTTAAGCCATATAAACTCTTAAGAAGTTTACAAACTTGCCCTTCTTTAAACCCTGAATAACCCTGTGGTGGCTTCATAAAAACTTCTTCATTGAGATGCCCATGTAAAAAGGCATTATTTACATCCAATTGCCACAAGCTCCAATTTTTCATTGCTGCTAGAGCCAAAAACATTCTTACTGTTACCAATTTGGCAACAGGTGAGAAAACCTCAAAGAAATCTACACCCTCCACTTGGTTGAATCCTTTAGCTACCAACCGTGCTTTATATCTTTCCACTTCTCCATTTGCTTTCCTCTTAATCTTGTATACCCATTTGGATCCTATAGCCTTTTTTCCGGGTGGCAGGTAGCACATTTGCCATGTTTGATTGGCTTCCAAAGCTTGTAATTCTAAATCCATGGCCTCCACCCACTTGGGATGATGTCTGGCCTGCTCATAACTCAGTGGCTCCTCCTCATGTGCTAAATTTACCAAAAATTCATCTGTAGGAGTGTGCTGTGTATGCTCATCATCATCACAGACAAAATCTTTCATCCACACTGGTTTAGTTCTTAATCTCTGTGGTCTAAGTGTTGTATGTTCTGTGGGTTCCCTTGAGTGAGTGGATGTTAAGTCTGTCATTAATTGAGGGGTGTCTGGAAAGTGAGACTCTTCATGATGTGGTAAAGGTGTCACTGTTGAAGTTTCCATCCCTGCTTGTGGATGAAAAGGAAATTTGTCAGGGAAAAATACCACATCTCTGGAGACAAATCTCTTCCCTTCATCAAGATCATAGAGGTAGTATCCTTTGTATCCCACCAGATAGCCAATAAAGATGCATTTATGAGATCTAGTATCAAACTTTCCTTTGAGAGGAGAGGTATTTGCAGCATACACTAGACATCCAAAAGGTTGCAGTCTGTTATAGTCAGCCTCCTCTCCATAAATCTTTGCAAAAGGTGTGCTCCATCCTAGAGCTGAGCTAGGGAGTCTATTGATTATAAATGCAGCAGTCAACACAGCATAACTCCAAAATAACAAAGGCAGACCAGACTGAAATAGAAGCCCCCTTGCAATTTCTAGGAGTTGTTTGTGCTTTCTTTCTACCACCCCATTTTGTTGGGGTGTGTAAGCACAACTTTTCTGGTGAATAATTCCATTCTTAGCCAAGAGATCCTGACATTTCTCTCCAATAAATTCCATTCCATTGTCACTTCTGACTTTCTTGATCATTTTCCCAAACTGCCTTTTCACCATCAAAAGAAATTTCTCAATAAAACCCACTGTTTCCCCTTTAGTTTTCATCAGGTAAATCCAAACACCTCTGCTGTAATCATCTACTATAGTGAGAAAATATGGTGTATTTGTGAGATTGTCCTCTCTGCAGGGCCCCCATATATCCACATGGATTATTTCAAAAATATCTGTAGATTGTATTTTGCTTAAAGGAAATGGTGCTCTATGTTGTTTGGACTTGAAACATATCTCACAGTCCTTCAATGTGGCTTTCTCATTGCAATGTCCCTTCAAAAAACTGATATGTTGCAGTACACCTAATGAAGCATGCCCTAGAATTTTGTGCCACTTCTCAAGAGAAACACTGCAAGCAACTTGGCTTTCCTTCTGGTTTTCATTTGTGGACAGTATATACAGCTTTCCTTGCAAGTTACCATATCCCACCTTCATTCCAGTTTGTTCATTTACAAATATGCACTGATTGGAAGTAAAAGTGCACTTCAAATGTGAAGCTCCACACAATTGTGTGACTGAGAGAAGATTATACTTGAATGAAGGTATATACAACACATCACTCAAGGTCAAGTGTTCAGTTAGTTCAACTTCACCTGCTTGAATAACCTCTTTGACACTCCCATCTGGCAGGTAAACAGTGATTGGTTTTGACAGGGTAGCCACATTTTTCATTAGGTTCTTGTCAGTGCACATGTGCTTGCTTGCTCCTGTGTCAATCACCCAAGCTTTCTCTCTAATGCTGTCATACAAAGATAAGGCATAGTCTCTCTGATTTGTGGCAAAGTTAACAAAGTGTTCCTCCTCAATTACTGTATGACCACTTCTCCCAAGGATCTTAGCTACTTCTTGTGCTAGCTTAGTTATGTCCCCCATTGAACTAGAACTTCCTCCAGACAATATTTGAGGATTCTCTTTGGCTTCAGCTACATTGGCCATTCCTTTCATTTTATTATCCTTCATCTCCTTAAACCAATCAGGATATCCATGCAACTTGAAACATGTAGCCCTTTCATGCCCCTTCCATCCACAGTTATCACATGTCAATTTGGCCCTTTCTTCCTTTGACATCCTTTGTCCACCTCTGCCTCTACCATATGGAGGTTGTGCATTGGACATTCTACTGTTACTGCCCCTACCATATGGTGCACCTGTTTTAAAGGCCATGGCCATTCCTGAGTTAAAATCCTCACCAGCAACCTGTACTGACCTCTGTCTTTCAGCTGACAACAACATAGAATATGCTTTGCTAACAACAGGCAGTGGATCCATGAGCAATATCTGATTCTTAACATGATCATAGCTTTCATTTAAACCCATCAGAAACTGCATCAGTTTGTTCTGCTGGTATTGCTCATCTAGCTTTTTTCCAATATCACATTTGCAGGTTAAATGAGGCACTAAACATCCATATTCTTCCCACTTCCTTTTCAATTTATTAAAGTATATCATAACTGAATCGCTTCCTTGTTTTAAATTGGAAATTTCCCTTTGAAGCTGATAGATCAAAGGACCATTGCTTTCACCAAAACTCTGACATATTTCTTCCCACAGTTCTCGAGCAGTCTCAGCATAAACAAATCCATCAGCTATATCCTTACTAATTGAATTTAAGATCCAGGAGATTACCATACAATCGACTTTCTTCCATTTGATGAAATCTGGATCATCTGCATCCGGCGGTTGAATCGATCCATTGATAAAGCCTATCTTCGTCTTCGCTCCGAGTGCTATCATCATCGATCTTTTCCATGTCAGAAAATTGGCTCCCGTCAATGGATGTGATACGAGCTGAATCCCAGGGTTATCTGATCCATGTAGGAACAAAGGATTTTCTTCACGATTTTCTACTGCTCTCGTGTTCAGTAGTGGCCACGCTTCATTGTAATTGCGATTCGCCATTGATGATCTCGTTAAGTTTCAGCAAGCTCAACCTGCTCTGGATACCATGAAGAAAAAGGGAGCAAAAATAATTTGGGAACTCTGTTAATTTTCTGGGAAAAACTCAAATGTTATTTTTGTCCGCGGTTCATATGTATAGCCCGCGGGTAATTGAATTACATTTGGTTCAAGACGACACCGTTTTGGTACTAGCGAAAATAATCCCACTAAAGGAAGAGTCGTAAAGCGACTTCTGCCCACAAAACAGAAAACACAACTTTAGCATGAAACTAAAAAATACAATGTAGATCACATATTCATCAAATCCCGACAGAATAGTTCCGTAACGGGACCGTAGCATCTCCCTAAATTAAAATGGCTAAATCTTCCATTATCATATGGTTGCTTAGTAGGGGTAGAGATCGCCCGAAAAAATCTCTGTAGTAGTTATATGAAAAAAAGCTTTAAATTTTAATTTATTCGACTTGGGAGTTTTCTCAAATAAGAAAAAATCCAGTCTTTGTCAATGTTGAGTGTCCCATTTGTGTTTGTTCTTAATCTAGTTAAGCAACTTTGGAGCCAAGCCATATTGTGGGGAAAGGTTTTGGCAAAGTGTATGTGTGAAATTTGTCTTTTGCAAGTTGATGAGTATTTTTGTCTGTTATAATCCAGTTGACATATTAGAAGTCATGAGTGATCCAATTGATTTGAGTGGGGATGGAGGTGTCTTGAAGAAGATACTCCGAAGAGCAAAACCTGATGCTGTTGCTCCGTCTGAGAGTCTTCCGCTTCTTGACGGTATCTATGCTCAATACTGATACTTTTCATGTTATTTACTGTGATTATTTGAAATTTGAGCCCAGTCGCATATGTGCAAAATTAAATGGGCACAACTTCAGATTATTTTTTTTCCCCAAGTGGACGATGGATAAATGATAATCATTATTTGGTGAACTACAAGATGTTGATTGCCTTTTATGAGGATGTTATTATTAGTCGACATTATTTTTCCATTTTAATTTAGAAGAAATAAATGTATAACATTACAGTCATATAGTGCATCTTTCTATTTTTTTCCTTTTGCTGCATTTCAATGTATATTTCTTCCTTTTATTTTTTTGTTTGTATTTTGCATTGGTTATAAGCTAGTTATGCTCAATTTGTCTTCACATGTGCTAACGGGCCACTCCAGCTTGTTACTTTTTCCTTGGCATTCTATATTTGAAAATGTTACTAGAAAAAAGAAGGAAGGAAAGTATGAGTTTTGTTTATTTTCGAACAGTTCATTATGAAGGGATTCTTGCTGAGACCGGTGAAGTTTTTGACACCACAAATGAAGATAATACAATCTTCACCTTTGAGTTGGGCAAGGGATCTGTGATTAAAGCTTGGGATATTGCACTGAAAACCATGAAGGTCAGTTTTGTGCATCTAATAGCTAATAGTTCTTGTCATTCCATTGAGTTCTCAAACCCTCTTCTATGTTTCAGGTTGGTGAGGTTGCACAAATAACTTGCAAGCCAGAATATGCATATGGCAGTGCTGGTTCCCCTCCTGATATTCCCCCCGAGTAACATACTGTTTCCTTCTTTAACCTTAATTGCTTCATTTGAAGTAGCATTTATTTTTTTTAAAGCGTGGATGAGTATATATTTTTTACTCCGCTGTAGCTGAAAGAAACTACCGGATCCAATTATGAGGTTTTTATACAGGGATAAACTTTTCTAGAATCTGATCTTGGACAAAAGGGTTGCTGACTTGCTGTAGAAAACATTCTTGCATCATAAATTGAAAAACTGAAAATGTTTTGAATGAATGATTCCTTATAAATCGGTAACATAAAACCTGTCTGTTAAAACATGTGAATATTTTTTGGGTAAAAAAAATCTACTACTTAAGCTTATTGGTTTATGGGTTGAAGTTGAATGTTGTGCACAAGTTAAATGGTTTCCCTAAATCTTTCTTTGTTTATTTAGACAAAGATTCATGTACGTTTCAGTGACCTGCTATTTTCCTTGAGAAATTCTTTTCAAACTGTCTCCCTTCGAAATAATTTAAAGGGAAAAAATAACAAGATGGCTTCCGTTGCCTCTTGAATTTGAATGAGAAGTGGAAAACGAAGGGGGTACTCATTCATGTTAAAATGGGTTTTGTAGAAAAAATCCCCTTAATGGGTAAGATAAATGAGAGCCAAATTTCTTGGTACTTATTGGTCCATTTTAGGTACTAGAGCTCCTCGTTAATATAGCAACCAGACACATTCTTGTTTAGCTAATGTCAGGTGTAATTAGGTCTTATATATAGTTTATATGATCAATTTATAGTGAATTTAATGACACAAGTTATACGGGAGACACTCTCATATTCGGTTGGGGAAAGAACCACCTATCTATGTTAGGTAACAAATTTAAAGTATAATAACTTGACCTTATTCAGCATTCAAAGTTCACATATAGAATAAAATTATTGTTGGATTTATGGCTTAATCTGGGCTTTTTGTGACTTTCTATCGGAAAAAAGAATTGGATATTGGATAATCTGGGCTTTTTGTGGCAATTTTTTTATTTTTACAAGAAGATTAATAATGAATGTATGAAAACCACGTTCTGAGTTAAGTATGAGCTTCTTCTGATTTTGTTAAATAAGTTGAACTCTTGAATGGGTAAATTGCCTCTTCTTCAAAAGACCCGTTCTACATGCTTATAATCCACCCTCACGTAATTTTCAACAATACAAGACATTAGTTGAAAACAAATCTTTCGTGAGATTTAAATTATTACTTTTTGACATAGGTTTGAATTTTATTTATGCAGCTCGACACTAATATTTGAGGTTGAGTTGGTGGCTTGCCGACCTCGTAAGGGCTCTAGTCTAAGCAGTGTGTCGGATGAGAGAGCTCGGCTGGAGTAAGTGTTGGTTATATACTTTCAATTTGTGGATGGAATAACTATTTTGTTTTTCGCATTGTGAGGATAATGCAAACATAAACTATCCAGGCCCAATTACAAAACACAAAACAGTTCTGGTTATTTTTGCAACATTAGAAAAATATTCTCCCTTAGTATTTCGATTCATCTGATAGCCTCATGTTTGAGGAAGCTATTTGTTAAAAAAAAAAAAACCAAATATAAAAATGGTATATTTTTAGTTTTGTGAGATACCTGGGTTTTCTTTTTCAAATTTCAATCAGTCAATGTAATCAACCCATGTTTTATTTAGCCTCGTCATAATTTCTATAACTTCTGATATTAGATAGGTAAGAACTACAAAATGCTTTTTTCAGGGAACTTAAGAAGCAGAGAGAAATTGCAGCCTCGGTTAAAGAGGAAGAAAAGAAGAAAAGAGAAGAAGCAAAAGCTGCTGCGGCCGCTAGGATTCAAGCCAAACTTGAGGCCAAGAAAGGTCAAGGCAAGGGCAAGGGTAAAGCTAAATAAGAAACAAGCATATTAAAAGTTATCTTTCTCGTTTTAGTATTCTGATCCTACAATAAAGGAGCTAATAAAGCCTCTTATTAGCTTTTATATCTTCTGGAACTTAATAATGTAGCTATTATTAGCTAAGATTGGTGGTAGCTTTGTCTGCTAATATTGGTTTATTGGGTGCTTATTTGTAGGACACCATATTGTGTTAAAATAATGTCTTAAAATTCCCAGGATTGGGTTAATTGTGCTGTTACCGTTGCATATCTAGAATAATGTCTTAACTAGTACAACGCCCGTGTATTACACGGGTGTGTGCTAATTTTTCTTCTTAAAATCTTAAATTAATGAGAAAAATAGTTGAAAATCTAAATACCTTTTATAAAAATATATATATATTATTATATAGTTAGTATGACACTTTTTATTTGTGCAACTTACATGTGTTATATTATAATAATTTTTACTAACCAACAACATATAAATACATTATACATAAATATATCAATTGAGAAATAATTTTATTAATGACTTACATGTGTTATACTATAATAATTTTTTTAACTTACAACAAATAAATATATTAAACATAAATATATCAATTGAGAAACAATTTTATTTTCCTAATGAATTTTATTAAATATTATGATTTTTTATTATTATAAAGATAAATGTAATTTATTTATTTCATATATACAATATGGATGTCAAATCGAAGATCATCAAAAGATGATTAATTTGATATATTATATATGTAAAACCGATAAGAAATACAAAAGTTATCAACTTTTAAAGTACATTCACAATTCAATAGCTAATTGAAGGAAACAAATCAAAAGTCAGGGATACATTAGTCACTTAGTGTCTCACTATGTAAAATACAAAGAATTAAAGGGTTATATTAGTACAATTGATATTAAAATACCTAAGTTAACTAAATAATATTTAGTTAACTTAAATTGCTAAGTTAACTAAATAATATTTATGGAATGTCCAAACCTAAATTGCTAAATAATATTTATGGAATGTCCAAATTTAAATTATTATTTATTAATATATCAATATTATTTGTCCAAACCTAATTAGACTATCTTTATTCACGCCACCGCCCCCGGTGGCGTGAGAAACAGACAAAAAAAAAAAAAAGTAAAAATTGAATTTAATAAGAGCAGGGTTGATGACCCAGGTGCGTGAACCGACCTGTTTTTTAATGAACCACAAGCTGCCACTTGGCAGCTTGTGGTTGGTTGTTTTTTTTTGTTATGTTTTTAAATTAATAATATTGTAAATAATTTTAAATAAAAAATAAATAAAAATTATATCAAAATTCATATTTTTTTTTCTCTATAAATAGAGTATAATATTGATACAATTTCACAACCAAATACAACCTCTCTTTTCTTCACAAATTTCTTCTTCTATATTTTCTCTCTATTCTTCATTTGAGGCTATGGATCCAAACTATCCAAATTATTCTTTCAACTCCCAAAACTATCCAAACTCAGACAACTTACCCAAGTCCGAAAATTATCCAAATTTTGCTCCAGATCCGAATTCTCAACAATTTCCAAATTCCGAATATGAGCATAGTTCTCAATATTATCAAAATTCTCCAAATCTTAGCCAAATTCACACCTCTCTAGATGTGCCCACATCAGAAAAAATTTCCCGCAATTTGTTTGCAAATGTTCAACGTCCTAACAAAAATCTAAAGGGGACCAAAGATAATTGGTGTGTGAAAGAAGATATAACTCTTATGTCATCGTGGATCTTCGTTAGCGAAGATAACATACGTGGCAGAAATCAAAAAGGAGTCTCGCTATGGGCTCGTGTGCACAATCTGTATCACGAACACCAAGCAGAAAAGCCGGATGAGCTGAACGAAAGAAATATCGAATCAATGAAAGGTCGTTGGAAACAGCTTAATGAAAATGCAAACAAGTGGGTGGCTGCTTACAAGGAAGCGTGTGTTCGGAAAAGGAGTGGAATGACCGACAAGGATGTTGAGAACGAAGCTCAAAGAATTTATGAAGCAGGTGGTAGCAAGTTTCAGGATTCGATTGTCTTCAATGAAGTTATGTGTAAACATCCAAAGTGGGAGTTGCTTCAGGATAAAACTCGTTTTCGTCCTGAAGATGAAGAGGGTAATGACGAAGAAAGTGGTGGAAGCACCAAAAGATCAAGGACTTCCGAAGATGCAGAGTATCCTAGGCCTTCCTATCAAGAAACTCCAAGTACCGGATGTTCCACTCCTTCCCGTCCTATTGGTAGAGATAAGGCGAAAAAGAAAGGAAAAGGTAAGATGCCACAATATGATTTCTCTAATGAATTTGTTGCAGAAATTCGTGCATTGAGACTTTCCAGGGACAACGAAACGGAGGCAATGAAGAGTGTGTCTAATGCTAAAATGGAATTAGGGCGTGAAAAGTTGCAGGCCTCAAGGATGAAGATGAAAGAAAAAATGTTGAATACCTTGTTAGCAAAAGAACATTTGTCTCCAGCAGATGAGGAGACAAAACGCAAGCTTATGGCAATTGTATTTGGAGAATGAATGTACTGTGTGTTTTAGCTTGGGTATTTTTATGTATGTTTTTAAATTAGTTTGTGTAATGTAACGTATCTTTCAATTCAGATGCAATTATTTATGATATGTCAACATCTATCTTTATTACCCTCTTTTTACACCTCTTGTTCACATGGACTTGTCAGAAATAATGTTAGCTACGATCCAAAATTTCTTTACATGCACTCACTTTATTCACATACACTCACTAATAATTACATGCACTCAGACAATTCACATGCACTCACTTTCTTCACATGCATTCACTTTATTCACATGCACTCACTTTATTCACATATAATTTATAGCTTGTCGGTAAATAATTACATGCACTCACTTTATAGCTTGTCGGTAAAGAATTATCTTCTTTCTTTGTTCAAATATATTCTATATATACTATCTGCATTACATTGAACATCACACAAATTTCTCTACATTAGCTATTTTATCTTTGTTTCCTGAAAGTGTGCCCATAATTTACAAAATGTCTCAAAATGAAAACTCTTCAACTGATTCAGATTCTAGCTCTAATTCTTTCCACATCCCTGAATATGATGAATGGGAGGAACGAGCAAGACAACACAATCATCAAATTGATAGGATCATTGAAAATATAATCATACACAATCCTAATCTGATTGTAGGCACTCAAATGCCAACAACCAGAAGGAGGAGGAGGTATTGTAATAGAGAACGTGAGATTGGTGAGGAGCGTTTAATGAAAGACTACTTTGTGGAGGTGCCGACATACAGTCCAGAGATGTTTCGACGGAGATTTCGCATGCATAAAGCGGTATTCCTTCGTATAGTGGAGGCCATCTCAGCATATGATGAATATTTTCAACAAAGGCGTGATGCCACAGGAAGACGAGGCCTTTCACCCCTACAAAAATGTACTGGAGCAATGAGGGTGCTTGCATATGGGGCATCATCTGATGTTGTTGATGAATACTTACGAATGAGTGAAGTTGTGACAAGAAAGTCCCTTTTACATTTTATCGATGGAGTCATTTCCTGCTTCGGTGAAAGGTATCTGAGAAGGCCTAATGAAGAGGATCTGACAAGGCTTCTCCATGTTGGGGAACTACGTGGTTTTCCAGGCATGATTGGTAGTATTGACTGCATGCATTGGAAATGGAAAAATTGTCCCACAGCGTGGGCTGGGCAATATACAGGGAGAGGTGGAATTCCAACAATTATTTTGGAAGCTGTTGCATCATATGATCTATGGATATGGCATGCGTTCTTTGGAACACCAGGTTCGTGCAATGATATTAATGTATTACACCGATCTCCTATTTTTACTGATGTGTTAGAAGGTCGATCACCAAAAGTTAGTTATAAAGTGAATGGTCGTCAATATGATAGAGCATATTACCTCACTGACGGCATATATCCTTCGTGGGCTGCATTTGTCAAGTCAATAACTGCTCCACAGACCCAAAAACACAAATTGTTCGCTCAACAACAAGAGTCTGCTAGAAAAGATGTTGAGCGAGCATTTGGAGTTTTACAAGCTCGTTTTGCATATCTTCGACGTCCATGTCTCATTTGGGATAAGGAAGTGATGGGAAAAATAATGATGGCTTGTATCATTATGCACAATATGATAGTGGAGGATGAACGAGACACATACCAAAACTATTATGATCCCACAGAATTTCTTACGGATATACCTACAAGAGTCCAATCACAAGATGTTGAACTCAACTACTCTACACAACGCATTTCGAGTTTATCTGCTTATATGATCAATAGGGATCAACTTCGCAACAGAGAAGCTCATCGTTCTCTTCAAAATGATTTGATTGAGCACATATGGGAAAAATTCAGAACTCGTAATTAAATATGTAATTTTCACTTCTGTTGTAATTTTATGTAACTATTTGTAACTCAGTTTATTTATTTTTAATTTTATATTTGAACTCTTATAATTTTTATTTTATTGTTAAGTTAAATATCTATTATTTAAATGAACGATAATATTTTTACATTATAATTATATATTTTTGTTATTTTTTAATTTAATACAAATTAATATATCTAATTTTATTTAAAAATAAAGTGAAAAGAAAAAATATTAAGGTTGGGTTGGTGTCATGGATAAAAGTAGAAATAGAATTGGGTTGTGGGTTGTGTAAGTGGAGGAGAGAGAAATGAGTATTTTATTAAAAAAATTGGGTTGGGTTGGGTTGAGTTGGGTTATGAATAAAGATAGTCTTACGAAGCATGATTCTTTGCCAAGTAAGATTACGAAGCACCAGAAGCAGCCACGTAGGCTCAGCGCATTCTGAAATTATATATCGGGTGGATGTTGTATCAGAATTCAGAACATACCTTGAATACATAAATATTAAAATGGTATCAAATTAAACTTGATCTGTGATATGCTCTAGAATTGTGATGGCCTGATTAACATAGCCTTATCTAGAATAATTACTTATGTTGACTT